CGCAGCGAGGGGGCCTTCGGTGTCCGCATCGTTGCTTTCCTCCTTGGACTCTTCGCCCTTGCCTTGACGGTTTAGCTCTGCAGCGACTAGACCGGCAATGGGAAACAACTGGGTCTCCTTGTTGAACTGGAAGTTCTCCTGGCGATCCAGGTGGATAGCCAAAGTAGGTATCCGCAGGATTGGTCGCTCGACCTTGACCAGACGTTGCTCAATGTTGCCGTCCTTTGTGCGCACCATGGCGCGACCTGCAATGCTGAGGTCGCGGTCAAACCAGGTATGCCATAGTCCACCACCATATGTCTCGCAGGCTACTTGGATGAAGCCGTCGCCCGTTCGCTTGGATACAGGCTTGATGCGCAGGCAGGGAGAGTCGGTGTGGGCGCCGATCATGGCAATGGGATTGCCCGCCTTCCATTTGTTGCCGATAGCGAATGCGACGATGGAGGATGTGTTACGGGTGAGGTAGTATTTCCCTCCGGGATGCAGGGTGGGTGCCCACGAGTCGCGCTCCTGGGTATTGTTACTATCTGCCTCTACCACGGTACACATAAATGGTATCATGATACCCCACTGTTGACACTTAGACTGCATAGTTGCGTACCTTGATCTGCTTGAAGCCCGCCTTCTCTAACCTTTCCTTTGCCGACTTAACGGCATGAAATGCTATCTACAGTCAGTGTCTACTCAGGTAACGATAGCACGCGACGTACGTGTGGGCGAGGCATTGACAAAAGAAAGGAAGTCCTCGGCAGCTTTGAGGGAGGGTTTGGTCGCCATGGTTCGTACACGCGATAGTATAAACTTGGGATGTGATACAACAAGGGGTGTTGTCGGTGCGAGGTGCAGTAGTGTAATGCGCAGCTTGGATGATGGCAGCATCAAGGATTGGACACGACGTCTACAAGCTGGCCGCGGGCGGTGTGGGGTATCGATTGAGAGGCGATGGAGGGCACGTCGGAGGTTAGCGCTAGACTCCACTCGGCGGCCCTGCGCGACGCTGATTGGATGAGAGGACCCCAAGGAACGCGTCGTGGTGGAAGGTACGAACATCAAAACATGCGGACATGGCAGCGACGACGTGACGGCTCTTGCCCTGGCGCATCGCAGCGGCCACCCTCACCTCGCCTGCTGCTCTGTTCAGACGACATCTCCATCCCCATCTTCGCTTTCACATTACATAGCCTAGCTGGCCCAGAATTAGCCCATTACTATTGTCTCTCCTTACAGCGCCCGCCGGGTCTCTCGTTGCTCCCCCAGCACCCTGCGCCTGTCTAGCATACAAGCTCCGACCCGCAACCACAACAAGGTCACCGCCGCCCACCCCGCCCGTTGCGCGCCCACCGCCAACACCACGCCGACAGTACCCACGTCTACCGTAATTCGATGCGCAGCCAAATTGAATAAAAAAGCATACCTATTGTCTGCACTATTGTGCGCCGCGACGACCTGTCATTGGTTAAGAGGAGGGCAAACGACTTAGGGGCTATCAATCATCACAATACCACGACTCCACGTCACCGCGCGACTCACCTCATTGTTCCCGCCTTCACTTTCGTTTCAGGCAACCATTGTCCTGTCAGCTGCAGTATACCCGCCACTCGCGATCTTCGATTACCCTCACCCCGCCACGACTCTGTTACTTCACTTCGCACAGTGCACCGATCTACACAACAACAAACCCATAACCAGGCGCATCCACCTCGATGGCGCGAGACGACCCGGGGGAGACCGCTGCGGCGCATGCGCAGACCGAAGAGGGCGTCGCAACCCCGACACTGATATCGCCGCCCGAGTCAAAGACACCACCTACCGCCTCGCACAAGCGCAACCAGATCTTTCCCTCCAACCCGCTCGATCGGAGCTCAGAGCCAATAGATGCCGCGGCGTTAACGAAAGCCCTTGGACACATCGAACAGGCTGGCCGAGTTAGAGAGCGGACTTCAACAGCAAGCCCAAGCCGAAAGCGCCCGCGCATATATGGTGACAGGTGAGATTGCAACAGTCTAGTCGCACTGGACTCTCTGTACTGACGTCGTCACAGATTCATCCCAAATCGCGCAGGTCAAGACCTCCAGGCAAGCTTCAACCTGCTCCACGATGAAGCCTCACCAGCAACTCCGTCCAAAGCAAGGCGCACTCCGCATCACGAGCTACACTTTCAGAAGAGTAAGCACTTCCAGTCCTCTGTTATACAGTCACTAACCCGCCATAGCCGAAGAAGCCAACCGCACCTACTCCGCCGTACTCCGACAAGAGATGTTCGAGGGCTCAGTGCCCCAAGCCTTCCCTCAGAGTCTGTCGCCGACAGATAGTGCCAACATGCGAGGGGCAGGACGCTCACACACACCTCCAGCTAGAACCACAGCCACGTTACCGCCGCCTTCAGGAACCCCATCAACCCCGCACAAGAACCTGTTCTCCTACTCAGGCCAGCCAACTCCGTCAAGGACGCCATCAAGTCGACATGGCATTCTCAACCTCAACGCTCGTTCAGATCTCTACAGTCTATCACCAATCAAGTATAGCAGTCAACGCATGCTTCTTAGTCCACAACGTCAGGCCCGCGCCGTCTCCAAGGTACCATACAAGGTTCTGGATGCACCGGATCTTGCAGACGACTTCTACCTCAATCTCGTCGACTGGGGCAGCCAAAACACACTGGGAGTAGGACTTGGATCATGTGTTTACATGTGGAACTCGAGTAGCGGTCGCGTTACCAAGCTCTGTGAACTTGGCGATGATTCAGTCACGAGTGTCAACTGGATACAGCGGGTAGGTTCCGCCATTTCTGTACATTTCAGGCTCCTGCTAACCTCCATTAGGGCTCACACATTGCGGTCGGTACCAATCGAGGCCAAGTACAGATCTGGGATGCGCAGACTCAGCGCCGTCTTCGCACCATGACAGGTCACACAGCTAGGGTCGGCGCCCTTGCATGGAACGAACACATCCTCACCTCAGGCTCGCGAGACCGTACAATCTACCACCGAGACGTGCGCCAACCAGAGCAATGGTTGCGCAAGCTTGTTGGCCATAAGCAAGAAGTCTGCGGCCTCAAGTGGAACCAGGAAGATCAACAACTCGCATCCGGAGGCAACGACAACAAGCTCATGGTCTGGGACAAGCTCAACGCCGAGCCTACCTTTAAGTGGAGTGAGCATCAAGCCGCTGTCAAGGCCATTGCTTGGAGCCCACATCAGCGTGGTCTTCTCGCTAGCGGCGGCGGTACAGCAGACCGAACTATCAAGTTCTGGAACACCCTCGTCAGCTCCAGCGGCCCGTCAGCTTCAGCACTCGCCTCCGCATCGGCGGCTGCGTCAGCTGCAACCACTGCCAACGTCCCTCTATCGCCTACGGCACCAGCAAATCTCATCAACAGTCTTGATACTGGTAGCCAAGTGTGCAACCTAGCATGGTCAAAGAACAGCAACGAGATCGTATCCACGCACGGTTACAGTCAGAACCAGATCATTGTCTGGAAGTACCCCAGCATGCAGCAAGTCGTCTCGTTAACGGGCCACACCTACCGCGTACTCTACTTGGCCATGAGCCCGGATGGTCAGGTCATCGTCACTGGTGCTGGTGATGAGACGCTTCGCTTCTGGAATGCGTTCAAGAAGAAGGAGCGCACTGGAGGTCTTAGCAGCATGGATAGTTGGGGCGTCATTCGCTGAACTATTCTATCTGCTTTGCTCTTCTACTGATAGTGTACTATAGGACTGATGTCGAACCTCGCCGAACCTCATGCGGACCTCTGAATAGCTTTTGTGCTACTTACCAGATGGGACACTAACGTGTCTGTGTAGTTCATCACAGCGCGCTATCGTTGCGTTTCACTTGGCGGCATGCAAAGACACAGTCCACCTACTTCCTTTCTTCGACGATTTCAGCGGCATTTGTACGGTTATGATGAAAACTTCGGGTATTTCCTTATGAGCATGTGTGGCGTTCTGGGCGTTATAAGCGACTCGATACCATGGGATCTTATTATGGGCGGCGTTGGTTCAGAGAGCCAGGCACATGCTATAGTCTCGGGCTTGGGTGGTTTATCTGATGTGCACCTGAGGGTTATCACTTTCTGGCCATTGCGAATGCCATATTCTTCTATCTAGGCACTCAACTGAGTAGTGTCCTTTTGCATTTGCTTCGACGACCATTTCAGGGCTGAAGCTGGAGTTCAGGGTTCTGTGGATCACAGCCTTTTGGGTACATGGCCATCAATTGGCTTGGGCTGGACTTTTCATGATCACGATTGTACATTAGTAGCTCAGATATCACGGAAATTAAGCGTGAAACTTCAAGTAAGGTTTTCCATCATCGTGCAGTCTGTGCGAGGGAGTCGTGGTGTGAAGGAGGATAGACAATAACTCCAACAAGTGTAGAGAGGAAACATGCCCATCTGACGAGAACATGATCTGCCAGCTGGACGAACTTCATAGTCAGCGAGGTAAATTCTAATGGAAGTGCCGGTGCGTAAAATGTCATGCGGTTTCGTACCCGATCCTCTAGGAGGGGTTCTGTCCGAAGTGTCCCCGATATGGTCTTCTATGATGCTAGAACTTCGCGACTTTGGGCAAACATGCGTAGATTGTTCTCACGATTCCGAAATCTCGAATGTCTCCTTCTATTCCATAGATATCTAGGTGATGAGGATCGAGTGGAAGTTCTGAGGTAACAACCATTGGGTAAATCTGGGGTAACGCAAAGACCGCGGCAAGTAATGCCCGACTAGGCATTCCGCGGGTACGTATCTTCAACGACCAGTGCTGCAATTAGCCGGCAGATGACCCGAATGTCGGTGTTTCCGCCGCTGAGGCTATCCAGCAGTTGCCGACAGCCCCACCATAAGAGAAGACATCGGAATGTCGGAAATGCAACCGGAACGACGAGGGGAAGTTGCATCATCGCTCATATCACGCTTCTCTTCCTTTCCTCTTCTACCTTGTACTTGAAATCATCATACCAAATCTACCTTTGAAAACATCTACACAACCATCACCATGGCCCCCGACCTCTCCCAAAACAAAGCCGTCAAGCTCGTCGCCCACGCCGCCGCAAACAAATACGCCATCTGCGCAACATGCTGCTACAACGTTGAAGGCATCCTGGCCTCAGTCCGCGCAGCAGAAGCAAAGCGCGCACCACTAATCATCCAACTCTTCCCCTGGGCCCTCAACTACGCCGACGGCATCCTCCTGCACGCCGCCCGCGAAGCCGCCGACAACGCCAGCGTCCCCGTCGCCCTGCACATGGACCACGCGCAAACCCCAGAAATCGTCAAGAAAGCAGCGAACTTCAAGAACGGCTTCGACGGCATCATGGTCGACATGAGCCATTTTGACGATAACCTGGAAAAGACGGCGGAGTTGGTCAAGTACTGCAATGAGCGCGGTATTATTACAGAAGCCGAACCAGGCCGTATCGATGGCGGCGAAGACGGTGTCGGCGACCTCAGTGAAATGGGTCTAGAAGCCATTCTCACCACCCCAGAACAAGCAGAAGAATTCGTCGCAACAGGCATCAACTGGCTCGCCCCCGCCTTCGGAAACGTACACGGCAAATACGGTCCTAAAGGCCCTCAACTTGATTACCCCCGTCTGCGCAACGTACACAGCAAAGTTGGGGACCGCGTTGCCCTCGTGCTGCACGGCGCGGGTAAAGAGTGGTTTCAGGAGAAGCTGCTCAAAGAGTGCATTGAGTGTGGTGTTGCGAAGGTCAATATTAATGATGCGTTTAATAATGATTTCATCGATGTTATGAAGGAGCAGGCGGGCCTCACACCGATTACGGGGTTGATTGAGAAGGCGACGGATGCGATGCAGAAGAGTATTGAGAGTTATATTGAGTGGATGGGTGGGGCGGGCATGGCGGATAAGATTGTGTTGTAGATGGCGTTGTAGATGGCGTTGTGGGGTTGAATGTAGATAGAAGATGTACATGTGTTTGTTGTCGATGTATCAGTACTAGAAGTGTAGAGTTGTTGAACATGAATTCGATAGGCGCGGAACTCGCAACCATCTCTCCATGCCGAGTTGTGTGTAATGGATCAACGATCCGACGAAACAAGGTTTTCGGCCGAAAGGACGTCTATATATCGCGACGATCCGACCTTGATCGTGGCTAGTCTTGCGAGGACGTCAGTGAATGTCAGCGCTTTCCTGTGATTACTGATCGTAGTACTAGCATCTCGCGTCAATGCGCGTCTCGGGCTACTCAACAAACCTATCAACACGACTAAACATCAAGAGAATCTGGAACGCATAAGAGACTCACTGTTTCCGCGCATCAAGAACGAGAAATCCACTGGATTTCACAGGAAACAAACTTGTCATTGGGAAACCTCACACAACCCACTAATCATGCCAGCGAACTACTCTCTCCACGCCATCCCCGTGTACTGGATCATGGCTCTCTACCCACATATGTACTCTGTACGTGCTCCTTTCCCCTTCCCTATCCCGCATCTCCACTGACCATCTGGCCTCTAGCAAGGTCTCTTCAAAGCCGCGACAAACGGCCAACGCAACAACAACAACCCGCGCGGCGCCTCAACACTAGAACACTACCGAAAATGCACCCCAGAAGCCGTCTACACGAAAGCCGAACGCGCAGAAGCTTGCCATCAGAACAGCATGGAGAATGCGCCTTTTTTCATTGGGGCGGTGTTGGCGGGGAATGCGGTGGGGTTGGATGTTGGTAAGTCTTTTTTTATGCTATGAATGAGTCGTTGGTGAGGCTTTGTAATCGATGAGCTTGGGAGGCATGGATGGACGTTTGTGTACTATTGAGTGGATGGGAAATGCATGCTGACGACGAAACTAAACAGCAACGATGAATACTATGGTAGCGTCGTATATCGGTCTACGCGTCATCTACAGTTTCCTGTATGTCAAGGTTGAGAAGAACAAGACGAGTTATTTGCGCAGTGGCACTTGGGCTGCTAGTGTAGCGGTGTTAATGACGATGTTTGTCAAGGCGGGAAACAAGATGAACAGGAGTCTTGGGATGTAAGGCGGGTTTCCAGTTCGGCATACATGGTCTACTAAAAGCGGGGATGAACGGGAAAAATAACCCAGAGAACGATTAGCGGAGAGGTCTGGAGAGATCAAACGATTGCAATTTTGGTAAAAGAATGGAACAACTCGTCGCTAATATCAATGAAGGAATGTCGTAAAGAATGACAACATATCTACCACCTCTGACATACACGCTCTTCATCCCCAAAGTCCTTCTCACCAACCACCCATTTCAATAACTCACTGCGGCCAAGCACACAGTCCACCACAGTCGGACCCGCCATTCAACGGATCACAGTCGTCCCTCGGATCATCAACACAGATCTGGCCTGGGATATCACACTCAAAGCCCGCAAAGCCACCGCACAGCTTCTCGCTGACACATATACCCAGCATATCGCAAGCAGGACCGCAAGAGCCAGGCGTGAAAGGGTCAGTGATGCAGGTCTGGCCTGCAGGACATTCTTGAAGAGGACTTGCGCGACCACCGCCACAGATCTGGTTGGTGGGGGTAGCTTGGCGAGGATTGACGGGGGTTGGAAGGGGTATGATGCTGGTTGAGAATGTTGTGCTGGCGTCGGGTAGACAGATCTGTTGTATTGTTAGATTGATTCAGACTTTGCAGTAACAAGTTGGCTTACCTGGGGTACGGGCTTCTCTCCACCACAAAGCTCATAGCATCTCTGTGCAGAAGCATTCAGGCATTCACATAGCTCAGGCTGTGTCGAGATGCAGTTGACCAAAGGGCATTCGCACTCTGGAGGAGGAGGGGGAGGAGGAATGGGCGCAGGAGCAGGCTCTGGCTCTGCTACACGAGCCTCGACGGGGATTGGAGGGCAGGTCGAGGGAGGTGGTGCGGGCTTGCCACACTTTGCGGCGCACCTCACTTCCGCATTGTAGAAGCACCAGCAAGACTGGGGCCATTGTGCGATGCAAACTACGGGCTCGCATTCGCATGTCTCTTCTTGCGGCTCAGGTACGGGTTCCGGGACTGGCTCTGGTTCTGCTTTGCGAGCCTCGATGGGGCGAGGAGGGCAGGTGTCGACAGGCACGGGGTTACCACATTTCTCGGCACATGCTGCCGCTGCATCGTAGGCGCACCAACAAGATTCGGGCCAGGATTGAATGCAGAAGACGGGCTCACAAGTGCAAACCTCGGCCTCAGGCTCTGGCTTTGCTTCTGGCACGGGCTCTGGCTTCGCTTCGCGAGCTTCGACGGGGCGAGGAGGGCAGAAGTCAGGCGGCGCGGGACCACCACATTTCTGGGCACACGCTACCGCTGCGTCGTAGGCGCACCGACAAGACCCGGGTCCAAGGCAGAAGACGGGCTCACAAGTGCAATCCTCGGACTGTGCCTCGGGTACTGGTTCCGGCACGGGCTCTGGAGCACGAGGTGCGATATCGATACTGCAGTCCTCGTAAATCGGCTCTGGACCACCGCATTCCTCGAAGCATTTTCTCGCGTTGTCGTTGCGACAGTAGCAGCCCTCAGGGAAAGCTAGAGTGCAATCGGCTTCCGGGCACCAGATACAGACTTGATCTTGTGGCTCTGGTACTGGTTCCGGTACGGGCTCTGCGGCACGAGGTGTGAGATCAACGCCACAGTCCTGGTAGGTCGGCTCTTCCCCACCACACTTCTCGAAGCAGGCCTTGTCCGCGGCATTACGGCAAAGACAACTCTCAGGCCAAGATTGAATGCATACATATCCCTCGCATACACAAATAGGCTCTGGCAATAATGGCGTTGGTGTTGGTGCGGGCTGGGGGTTCACGCTGTCGACACTGCAGTCGTCATAGGTTGGCTCTTCACCACCGCACTTCTCGAAACACGCTTTCTTCGCATCGTTGCGACAGTAGCAGCCCTCAGGGAAAGAAAGAATGCAGATAACATCTTCGCAGACACAGGTCTCATCTTGAGGTGCTGGGAATGGCGCAGGTACAGGCTCTGGGACGGGCTCCGGCTCCGGGGCGCGAGCTTTGACAGAGTCAATTGGAATACTGCAGTCCTGGTATGTCGGCTCCTCGCCGCCGCACTTCTCGAAGCACGCCTTCTTCGCATCGTTCTGGCAGTAGCAACCTTCAGGGAATGACAGGATGCAGAAGACTTCCTCGCATACACATTCGGTGGGTGTGGGCTCTGGCGTGCTGACAGGCAACCTAGGGCAGTGCTAAAACTGTAATGAGCATTGTGATGTCCTTGGATGAGATCCTAGCTTACTAGAATACGGGGCTCGTATTCGGGGCATCGCGCTTGACAATCGTACTCTCGCTGGTTGAGGCACGCGCAAGCTTCCTGTAAAAACCCTCGTCAGTGATTGGCGTCGTCTGTTACAACAAGAGGATGTATACCAATGCATTGTCGCCGGGGCAGTTAGGTGGTGGGCATGACGCTACACAGCTGTCTGGCGGCGACTCCAGCGCACGCCCAAGGGCGCTGCCGAAAAGAGGAAGAAGGAAGAAGAGAAGCTTCATTGTCAACAAGAAGACCACTAAGCAATAAGAATGCGGTGGTACCGGAAGATGCCTTCGAGGTTGAACATTGAGAAGGTAGAGATCGGACCGGATATATATTCGGAAAGCACGTTGGACGCCCTGAAAGCATACTTGGTCTCACCTACCAGCGTAGTCATCTTACACCCATCGCCAAGGAAGCCTATAAGACATGTCAGAGTCGCAGAGTGGCCTCAGGAGACCAGACGACGCCTTCCGAAGCCACCAAACTTTGTGTTCTGGCGAACACGAGTTCACAGCTGCCATCCAAGCTCTTGGCGGTTCGTCCTAGGCATGCGCGTTCCGCTATGTGATGATGCTGCATTTTTCGTATAAGGAAGTACCCTCCAGCCACTACCTAAGACAACACCAACAGTGTCGTCAGACGGGGCGACGTTTTATTTCGGTCAAAAGTCCGGTAATTGCGCAATGATGTTTGGATGTTTAAGCTCATGCTAGGGAGCAAGCGCGAAACCGTGACGTGAGACCAAAATTAGCACTAACTCACTTTCCGCGTAACCGGGTAGCATGAATAATGTTATCGATTGCGGGGTGCAGATCATGATAGAAGACGCCTTCGGATCCAGGCACCGTCGCACGTTGCAATTGGAGTCAGCTCTCATTTGCTTCCTGTTGGGTGGGACGGCATATTGATTGAACGGAGGCTTTTGCGGCTGAAATACGACAACTCTGTATGGGTATATTAGGTACTGTATATGCATGCCGGGTATTCAGTCGAGGGTTCCCGGGGTTCCATCTCTCAGCCGGGACGTCGTACGCCCTTCCATTCGTCTTGCCTGTCGCAGGGTGATCTCACGTGGTGTGGCCGCGAAGCACATGGCCATTGGCCAAGCTATGCTGATGGTGAGGAAAGTCGCGGTGGAGGACGAATCGGGTCTGCTGTCCTCGAAGCTCGACGATGAGAGGTCCGCGGGTGAACAAATCTGGTAAAAGTGACGGACGGATGCGAGAGAACGCGGGTGATTTGAGCTCAGGGATGACTTACGCGGGCCGCTGACGCCAAGGCGCTAGGCCGTCGTTCTTGCCATGAGCCTGGTTATATTTCCGTACTACGTCAGACGACGCTCATCTTCACACGCATTGGTCGTACTACTACGCAGTGCAGCAAAAACATGCGAAGCTGAGGCTCTCGTGTAAGAAGGACTAGTCAATACAACCCCTACTGAGCTTTCACTAGGCGGAGCTTCAGCAACTGTAAGGAGTGACTTATCGATTGAGTAGGGTGCGTAAGTTGTCTAAGGCTATGCCAAGTCGTTCTCAAGCGAGCCACTCGCTGACGTGTTATTATGTCTATGACCAATGCAAGCTCAGATGCAACGCCGGTGTGCTTCCCAGGGGTATAGGCCTTCAATGCAACCAAGAACCATCATATGAAACCGTAACTCATTAAAAGCGAAATCACCTATTTCTGTCAACGTCTTCAGGCGGAGACCGTCGCTGGAGACCGGTCGTCGTTCGGACCGCGTCGACGCCGCGCCAGACTACAGTAGAAACAGACGAAGCTAGCTCACGCAATGAAGGACCCGCTTCGGAACCTCGCGGGATCTCTCCAGAGGTGCGCCGAGAATTGTCCCCCGACCAGCCGGCTTCAACATCGTCATCATGCGGAGACGGATCGGCGGGCCCAGATCTGGACATGGGTACAGGTCGCGACGCGGAAGGTGACATGTTGCGAGTCTCAGCAGCTTCGGTCTGTACGTCTTCTTCGCTGATAGATAGTCGGGGCGAGCGCGTTGGTGATGCTGACTGTAGCCGATCGTGCCAGCTTCGACTCAAGGAACGTACAACATCGCCTTTGCAGATGGGGCAAGTCCTCCGGCGCGTGACAAGCCAAGGTGTTCTACTCACGTCAGATCGGTTATGTCGATAGGATGGAAGAAAAACTTACATGCAGTCCGCGTGGAACTCATGGCCACACGGTAAGCTCATGACCTGACTGACACCATCGACGTACTCTTCCAAACAAACAACGCATTCTCGTTGACGGCCTCCATAGCGTCGTCTCCACGCCGCCAGCCCAGATTCTCGCTTTTCTTCTTCGCGGTCACGAGATGCATGCTGCACCGATGTCGACGTGGCGGGAGTCTCTGACACAGTAGTCGAGCGCGATCGAGATTCGGGAGATCTAGAACATGTTGCAGAATGCTGAAGTAAGGGAGTAGTAGGTGAAGCAGCGCTAGATGTTGCCGCGGACGAAGAATCGCTTATTGTCTGATAGGTCCTGACAGGCAAACGCTCAACAACAGATTTGGGTGCCCTCCAACGGCGGCGTCGTATACGAGATCTAAGAAGAAGAAGGGCGTACACGACTGTCAGAGTGACCAATGGGCTGACGACGAGTACAAGTAGAGTGTCGAAGAAAGGACTACTTGAAACATTCGTGGGCGTAAGCGTGACCCACAGGCCTTGGTGAGCACTAGTCGCAGACGAGGATGTTTTGATAGACGCGGAGTGGACATCGATGATCGAGGTAATGCTCCTAGTGCGCGCACGACTAGATGACGCTGAAGACGCAGTGCTGTGTTTAGAGCCCGACCACCAGCTCCAAGGGCTCTTCACACCGGTCTTTGTCTTGGCTGGGGTATACTCACCACTGCCAGGCAAGGCATTGCTACCTGCTTTGGTACTCACTGGAGTTGCGCTAGCCGTTTTTGTGAATGCGCTTGTAGTTGCAGTGAGTGGCAAAAGGTCAGGATCGCGCCAGTCGTGTTCGCCAATGACGAAACCGTCAGCGAGTTTGGTGGGGATTGCCGTAGGCACCGCCGATTTTGTCTTGATGGGGTTTTGGTCATCTTCCCAATCACTGACCTCGACCCATTCCAGGTCACCGCTACTAGGAAGTCGTCGGCTGCCAGCCTTGGGAGACTTGTTGCTTAAACCATGACCGAAGAATGCAGAGAGGAAGGAGTGCCAAAAGCTAGTGCGCTGTCCCTCCGCAGTCTTCTTTTTGGATGGCAGCGAGTGCTGCTTCCCGTGGGCCGAAGTCTGTACAACTTGTGGCGCTTCTGAAAGAGTCGCATGACTTTCAGAGTCCTTGACGCTGGCATGAGAGGCCGCAGAGTCCGAAAGCATGCCGTCTCCTGGATAGAGTGAAGACAAGAGATGCGCGGTTGTGTGCGAAGTAAATAGGGACGGAATCGTGATATTAGAGGTGTCACCTTTGGCGTACATACGAACGAGGGCGCCGCCACGCACGTCGTCACCAACGATAACGGCGACTCCCCCACGCGATTGTGCCCATTGAACTTTGGCCAGGAAGCCACAGCCCCCTCGCTTGAGGAGTACAACCTTGCCAGCAATCTCAGCACTCTCTTGTAGTGATTGTATATCGGCGTGTTTGCTTCGTGGCAGTATGTGCGTGCTGGAAAGCCCTGGTTGCAGGTGATCGTCCGTTCCATCGTCCGCAACGGCGTCCTTGGTGTTGTCTTCGCTAAGGCCCGGTACTCCCTCTTTCGAAGGCATATTCCTGTCCAGCGTGGTGTCCTTTGCCTTTTCTTTGGAATGGCCCGATGGCCGTGAAGCGCGCATGAGGTCATCGTTGCCATCTTCCCAGCCCGGAACGTCGCTGCAACCCAGCTCGCCGCCGGCGCCCATGGAGTCATCTCCAAACCCGCTGCCGATCCATAGAGAGCCGCTCAAGCCTCCTTTGGGTAGCGCGGGGCCGAAGGCAGCGGGTCGGGCGAGGAAGAAGGTCGAATTGTCGTCGGTCAAACTGATAATCGCGGACGGCGGGAACAACGAGCTGGGAAATGGTGAAGAGAACATGGCTTTGAAACTGCCTCGGCTCGACGCAACTGAGATGCGTTCCTGTTCTTCATTTTGCGATGTTCCCACGACCATGTATAGAAGGAGCGTGACGGCGACCAGGCTCGTAGACAACGAAAGCAGTAGGCGGAGAGGGCGCATGCTTGCGGAAGCAGCCGGGCGGCGACAGGAGGAGGTGAAGAAGGGAAGAACAGCAAGTAGTGCTGGATTGCTAGGAGTGTAGAGGCATCGACTGAGATCAGGAGACAGACGGGATGTGGTCCTGTCTAGGGTCACGCGGGCGAGTGAAGGGCAGGAAGCGATGGATGATGCGGCAATAAACGGACGTCAAGGTCGTCACTACTCGGGTGGCGCGAGACAACGAACGGCGCACATGTGCAGGAAGAGCTGGCGCAGCGATTACAGCACGGAAAACGCGTTGGAAGCAGGCGATAAGGAAGCGCGTGCTCCAGAGTGAAAGGCTGGTGGGCGCCCGATGATGTCGTGATGCGAGACCCTGGTGCAATCGGGGCACGGGCACCACGGCCAGCTGCGCGTGCGCGCGATGAGTGCCAAGCATGCCATTCCCCGCACTCGACCATGCTATAACCGTCGGAAACACCAAACACCACGTCCGCCTTGTCGTAATGGTTCGTGGTCACTATCTATCTTTCGAGATACAGTATCTGATGATTTGCGACGCCTTGTGTGAGTCCGCGTACCGCCTCCTCTCGCTTTCGTCCAGAGCGTGCCGACAGGAAACGACCAGTCTGCAAACATCCTGTAGCTCTAAGGACTCATCGACTAGATTGGCATGAGGAGAAGATTTAAACGGCAAAGCTCCGTGGTAGAAGCTCAAGCTTTGCGCAAATAGATGCACTCACCCTTTCCCAAAGTTACACACGGCCGTCACCCACCCGACTTTGGCGGACATGCTCTCCTCGTCACATCTGCAATGGCGAGAGTGGAGGTGAAGCAGACATGGATGGACAGTGTGCAGAGCGAGACTGCCCGAAGAAATGGCATTTTTGATGTCTCCCAGGTAATATTGCTGGAGATGTCGCGGTCACCTAGACTCTGATCATGGGCCGCTCCTTCCTCGTCAATCATCTGAGTCTGCTCGCAGCTTCTGCTTTACGACGAGATCTGTTTCGATCGGAAAGCACTCCGTCAACATCACCTTCACGACTGCCTGTGCTCTCCCCTCGCCCTTCGTGTCGTCACGCTGCTCCCATATCTTGCCTCGTTCGACTTCCCAGCCTACACGCCTCTCATACCCTCAACTCCTCTTATACCCAGCCCTACTACCAGCTTCCATACCTCTCAGCAGCCCTTGTCCTACTCATATCATTCCTAAGTCTCATCTGCTTGGCTACCAACCTCAGCTCACGAGCCTATCACCTACGACCTACTTTTACGCACTCGCACATGTATGAAACCCGTTTGTGGCATCCATCAGTCCTCAACTGACACTGGTAACCTCTAGCTGCCCCCTCGGAAGCGTCATGGTTCTGCCAGGCATGAAGTCCAGATACACCGAGGACCCCAATCGACCGGGCGAGCCACGCCTCGCTAGTTTCGGGTGGCTACCGAACAGAGCTCGCCATCTCTTCATCTCTTTCGCGGGTGAATATGTCGGCACCTTCCTCTTTCTGTTCTTCGCCTTCGCTGCTACCCAGGTGGCCAACAATCTCCGCGGTACCAGGCCCATGGACATTGGGTCACTGCTGTACATCTCGTTGGCATTTGGCTTCTCGCTGGCAGTTACGGTTTGGGTCTTCTTTCGCATCAGTGGCGGCCTCTTCAATCCTGCTGTATGTACACGCAAGCTCTTTGACAAAATTTGACACGCTGATGAGGCTTAGGTCACGGTCGCCATGGGTATCATCGGAGCACTCGGATGGATGAAGGCCCTACTGCTAATCATTGCGCAACTTCTTGGAGCCATCACTGCCGCTGCAATCGTATCTGGTCTCTTCCCAGGACCACTGTCCGTGAACACGACCCTCAGCAAGGAAACTTCAGTAACACGAGGCCTTTTCATTGAGATGTTCTTGACATTCATGTTGCTGTTGACCATCTTTATGTTGGCGGCAGAGAAGCACAAGGCGACGTTCGTTGCGCCAATCGGCATCGGCCTTGCTCTCTTCATCGCGGAGCTGGCCGGTCTGTACCAACTTCGAAGTTTACAATACATCAATGCTAACAAACACAGGTGTATACTTCACTGGAGGCTCACTGAACCCAGCTCGCTCCTTCGGACCAGCTGTCGTGACCGGTGTATGGCCTGGACATCACTGGATTTACTGGGTTGGACCCCTCTTTGGTGCTATTTTAGCATGCATCTTCTACCGTCTGATGAAGATGCTCGAATACGAGACTGCCAATCCCGGCGCAGACCACGATGGCCGCGAAGTTTACCACGAGCATGGAGCTGGTCGAAGTTCTACCCATTACGAGGCCACATCTGGTATGCTCCCATGCATCCTATAGTTATCCACTACTGACTTCTCTGCAGCTCGGCAGGCGACCGATGGAACAGACGAGTATGACTTTGCGAAGCAGCTGCGATCCGGCACTAGACAGCCCACCATGACCCAGCGTCAGGCAATGCCTTCCTTCGGCACCCTCTCTACCTCCACAGGCCACACTGAAAAGCCAGCGGCACCGCTGCCGGTACATATGCAGACGCTCGATGGCCACCGATCCGACACGGTCAACCATCCCGAAGATCGGCCTCGCGCCCACCACAACCGCGGCTCGTCGTCGTACGAGATGACATCCGACTCGAGCTACCGCAATGGACCGAGTGCAGAGTCGGGCAGCTCGGAGTCATAGACCGGCTCGTCGACTAGCTCGAGCTCAGGGTCGCGTCGTTCGCCGAGCGCATAGGATGACAAGCAGCCGAAGAGTATATTCGGTAGCGCCTTGTATTGGCCATGCTGTTTCCTACCACATTTCATACTCCAAGTGTGTTTCTGTCCACATACGTGAGAAGCTGTAACTTGGTGTCGCTGCGTTGCGGGCTTGATAGAAGGGACTGGGCATGGTGATGGTTCGCTACCTAGGGGATCTCTTCTATTTCTTTACAAAATGACACAAGACTTGACATTACTGAGTGTGCATTGCAGCGAGCCGTGAATTTTCATCAGTGTGAGTGGCTTACACTCATTGCGAGTGGACGCTCATATCCGAGCCCGCTCTGGCTCGGATCCGGACGTTCATATGGAGCCTGCTTTGGCTCGGATCCGAAAGCAGCATTCGACAGTTACTGACAAACTGCCTTATTTAGATTCCGTAGACGTTTATATTTAACCTTGTTTTAGCCCGGATCCGAAGGTGCTTGCTTTGGCTCGGATCCGAAACCAACCATCGACGGCTTTCGATTCGACACATTGCCCGAGTGGACGCCTACCCTTAGACTTGCTTTGACTCGGATCCGAAAGCCGAATTCAACGGCTTTCGACAAACTGCCTCATTTGGACTGCGTAGACGTCTTCGTCTGAGCTTGCTTTGGCTCGGATCCGAATCACATGCCGAATGTAAGCCTTGGCTTCGTCGTACCGCAACCATCGTTCTCGGATCCGAGACCAGCAATCGACGGCTTTCGACGGATCGCCCCATGTAGATTGAGTAGATGCCTATCTTTGAGCTTGGTTTGGCTCGGATCCGAATGCAGCAATCGACAGCTATAGACAAACTCCCTTCTTTGGACTGGGCTAACGTTTATATGCTTGCGTTGTCTCGGATCCGAAGTCATGGCCAAGGGATTGCCACCGCGAGGGTGATTCGGATCCGAAAGCGGTGATCGATGGCTGTTGATAAACTGCCTGATTTGGACTGCGTAGACATCTTCAAGTTGGCTTTGGCCCGGATCCGAAGTGATGGCGAAGGGATTACCTCCACAAGAGTGACTTGGATCCGAAACTAATAATCGACGGCTTTCGACTATTACCTCATTTGCACTGCGCCGACCAAGGAACACATCCTTTCGGATCCGAAACATGAGTCTCAACAAGCTTCGCTACGCCACTACATAGAACTCAAACGCCCTTGATGTGTGCTCGACCGAAGGCATGCGCACATGGTCTAGGCCGTGTAAAGGTGGACGGAGTGATCAGGTACGAGCGGTCGATCGACCTACGAACAGTCAAGAAGCAGACATTGCACGGTCTAAAGGTACGCCAACGCTGAAGGCCCCTCTACTGATGGTTTCCACCGGATTCACAACTGCACGGGTATGTCGCAAGTGTTTTACGCCCCTCTTCCCATGGAGTATTGGTGGAGGGGTAATTGACAAAGCGTTACTCTTTCGCCGACTGAGGAGAGTTGATAGAAGATGGTCTACTTCTCCACTCGCAGTAATTGCGGCGATGGTGTCGTTGAGTACCTCGCGCTAAGCGCGGGTCCTCAAGAGCTCATCCTCACTTCCCACATCACGTATCCGGTACTCACATGTCATGCGCAACATGGAAAACTTGATTGTATTGCTATCCACCTTAGTATACACAGCCCTTTCCACCGGGTATGCGATTGCGCCGTTGCGCGCCTCGATCGCGAAGGCGGTGTTCATTGCGTCGCGGAGGCCGTCGTCGTTGCGTGGCGTGCGCTGTGCGCGGTATGTATGGGACACCGACCAGTTTATTGAATCAGAGATGCCGTCAAAGCGTCCGTTATGTAACAAGGTGTGTGTGCCGGACGCGGAAGTCATGCAACCACATCCAAATCTACCAATGAACCACTTGAGCCCCCGAAAGGAAGAGTTCAAAGGCGGATGAGGAGAGCTGCTCAGCTGATACACGCTAGGCTTTCATCATCTGGCGGGTTTGTTAGTATTGGCGCAAGGGAAATTCGCGACAGCAGGGTGACTTACGTGTTATAAACTGGAGGGATAGCGAGAGGAACTGGGTGTGGGCGCTGGAAACCTTTTGAAGCTTCTGCAGCTTGGTCTGGGCGGACGCTAACCTTTGTGAGGCTAGTGGCGGGTGGGGCTTGGCGTGTTTTCGAGATTTGGCTGCGCGCTCGTTGGAGATGCCATAATCGCGCTGGTACCTACAAGAGCTCGCTCGCTCGCTTCAATACACTATGAGTCTTGCACGTGCCTCACGAGGTGTGCTGAAACGGGACAACGGCTTGCGCAGCTCCTACGCAGAGATTTCGCGGTTTTGTCGAACACCCCATCACGGGACCACGCCGGGTCGTGTAGGCCTTTGTCGGGGGCATGCATCGCGAGGCTTCGCGACTTCGCAGACACGCAATCAGGATGAAAATCTGCAAAAGACTCTTGATGATTTCAAGGCCACCAGTATGACTTCGTCGACGTATCGAATGCATTTGCTCACAAAGTCGTAGTTCGACCATCCTCATGGAAGGATCTAAATGATGAATGGAATAAAGTCACTCATAGTCCTCCAGGCACGGAAGTTGAGGTCTCCGGTTATATCAGCGCACGGCGAGATGTTAGCAGCAAACTCTCTTTCACGATGCTTCGCCACAAGAACCAAGGAGTATGTGTCCAACTCGTCTCTAAACCTCTAGATAATGAAGCGGATGGACCGGACGCCCATAAGACACTGCGGTTGTTGAAAGAGTGGACTCCCGTCATAGTCCGAGGAAAGCTAGTTGAGCGCAAAGGGGCCAAGACCGACACATTCGCGGGTATGAACCTGCTCGGTACCCAGGAGATCGCTGTGGAGCACGTCCAGCCATTGAACAACATATCGGATGATATCATCATAAAAGATGACACTGTATTTGGCCCAGACCAAAGGCATCTGCAGCTTCGCACAGACTCGAAATTGCGCGACGATCTCTTCCAACGGTCGAAAGCCATGGCTAGAGCAAGACTGCACTTGAACCATTACAATTGGAAGGAGATCGAAACGCCTATACTGTTCAAATCGACTCCTGAAGGCGCAAGAGAGTTTCTCGTGCCGACACGGCAAAAAGGATTGGCATACGCGCTGCCTCAAAGCCCACAGCAATACAAGCAGATACTCATGGCGTCGGGCATCACCAAATACTACCAATTTGCTAGGTGTTTCCGAGATGAGGACCTGAGGGCCGACAGGCAGCCAGAATTCACCCAGGTCAGCACTACTGTGTCTCTAATGAAGACCCCGCTAATTGGAACAGCTTGATATGGAGATGTCTTTCGCTAACGAGGAAGACGTCATGCACGAGACAGAAGCTCTATTGAGAGATCTGTGGTATAAAGTCCTTGGGATAAAGAAGGAGAAGAAGTTTGCGCGAATGACCTATCAGGAGGCAATGGCTGCATATGGATCTGATAAACCAGACCTAAGATTCAAGGCAAAGGTGCGTAGCTGACGCTACCTAGCTGTCTTCTCAAGCTAATGAGTGAAGATTCACACCATCACGAAACACTTGACAGCCGACTTGATCGGCAAGATTACTTCTTTACAAGATCCAGTCGTTGATGCACTCAAGATCCGGATATCTGATGACCCTAAAACAACCCGCAAGTTCGTCGCCGACTTCCTTGACAGCCCGGACGGAAAGGTCTTCCTCGACAACCCTGACGGTCAACCGGGTATCTTCATCGGTGACCTTTCACAGCCCATGCAAGGCCTCGGACCACTGGGCTACCAATACGTGATGGAGGGCCCTGAAGCGCTGGCCGTGGAAAACGGCGACCTTCTTGTCCTCCAGGCACGACCCAATGCGCCCTTCTCGGGCGGCTCAACCATGCTGGGAAACCTGCGTCTTGCTCTCCACAAAGCAGCCATAGCAAAGGGACTGATTGAAGCACCTAAGATGACCAAGTTCGTCTGGATCACGGATTTCCCGTTGTTTACCCCGTCAAGCGACAGCGAACCGGGCCAAGGTGGCTCAGCTGGCTTCTCATCAACGCACCACCCGTTCACCGCACCGAAGACCCCCGAAGACGTCGACTTGCTACTCACTTCGCCTTCATCTGCGGTAGCAGCACACTACGACATTGTGGTCAACGGCGTTGAGCTCGGCGGCGGCAGTCGCCGTATCCACTCCGCCGCGATGCAAGAGTTTATCTTCAAGGACATTCTCAAAATGAAGCCCGAACGCGTAGAGGACTTCAGACATCTGCTTGATGTGTTGAGGAGCGGCTGCCCGCCTCATGCGGGTATCGCACTGGGATGGGATCGGTTGATGGCTGTCATGTGCAACAGGGATAGCGTGAGGGATGTCATTGCCTTCCCGAAGAGTGGGAGAGGGGAGGATCAATTGGTCAAGAGTCCGAATCGCATGACGGAGGAGCAGTTGGAGACGTATCACTTGAAGTTGAGGGAGTAGGTTGGAAAGGGAGGATTAGAGTGTACGATAAAGCTGTTGTGTGTATATTATCATCGTAGGTACCATGAGTAGACTCCCATGATTGGCAGTATTAATCGCATAAGTGGTGTGACTTTGCTCGTACCTTGTCGCATGTAGGTCAGGAAGCCGCTGATGTCCAGCAATCACGACTGATCAACGGCCATAGTACATACGTACCCTGACAATGACCCCTTGTCTGGCCAGGAAGGCTGCAGGGTGAAGATCACTGAAACGCAGTCATACACTGAAGCAGTATGACGAGCTGACGATCATGGCGAACAACCAACGTCGAACCCGTTACACGACATTACTCTTGGCGCTTATCTCGGACCAAAATCCCTTCTGTGGAACTATTGGCAGATTCGTCATGCTTTGGAGCGACGTTGCGCGCGAGATAGATGCATGTTAGCACTTTACCCTGCTTCCTATCATGCTGTGTTTGCGGTTAAATCCGTGAATGAATCACAACCCATGGATGAGCTGTGCAGCTCATTTGACCGATCGCTACCCTCAGAGCCATATAA